TAATAAAACCAGTGCAATAAAAACAGGTTTTTCTGCCCTTGAACACTGTACAGCTGTCTCAGCCATTTTTGTTATTTGGTCGAGTTCTGAAAATTCTGCGATCTTTGGGTGAAAAATTTGTTTCAAATTTTAGCTATCTATCACTGAACATCAACAAAATTTTAACAGAATTATACATAGATACTATTGGTCTGGGCAGCAAGGAGGCCAATAATAGTGGTGAAAAATGGACAGATGATAGAACAAATGAAAGATGAAGTAGGAAAGAAAGCCATTTAGCATTTTGCCTCAGGCAACAAAGTGTCTAGCCACTGAATCTAATAACTACATCCATATTATTGAATGTACTCTGTAACAGTTTCTTCATTAATCACTGAAAGCATAGTGGAAAAGTATAGTTTTTTAGTTTTTGCCCAAAAGCCAGTAATATGGGAACCAACTTAATTCTCTAGGGCCAAAGCTTCATTACTACACAAAATCTTGGCTAACTTCCCTTTCTGCCAAAATCTGGCCAGTACTATATATGTATAGAAAGTTACTACTCTGATTTTTTCAAGCACTGATAGATTTAAAAGGATCATTTTTTTCAAATGTACATACAAGAATACTTGACTGACTCATGAAGCAAATTACCTTTTCACCTGAAGAGGTTGCTTTAATTGAGAAAGAATAAATAATAGTTGATAATGCCTTCTCTTTAAAGCCACGGTTGACAAGGGCATTTTAAGGCATAAGATCACAACAATCCTTCTTTGAATTTGAATCTTGGAAGAATCAGGACAAAAGGATTTTTTTTAATGCAATATATAATTAAACCTTGGAATTCACTACCATGAGATACAGTATGGTGCTGGCTACTAGCTTGTCTGGTTTCAAAAAAGGGTTGGACCAACTCATGGAAGTCATGGGGATCATTGTCTAGTAGCCTTGATGGCAGTGTGACTACCTCTGAAAACCATCTACTGGGAGACTAGTGGGCTTCCTTGTGCAGTTGGTTGGCCACTGAGAAAACAGATTCCTGGACTAGATGGGCCAGGGGTCCAATCCAGTAGAGAACTTCTTATGTTCTTAGGTCACAGCTGTCTCCTAATACTGCATCCTTCTGGTGAATTAAAAACAAGATGGAACTGTTTGAAAATTATTTTAACTATTAAGGAAGAATATATCTCTGATGTACTATTGTTGTACAATATTTACCAAACTCATTGAAATACAGTCCTGCTCAACAAGCTAACATTAGACACCCCTTTCCTCTGATATCCAGGAATAGTGGATTTAAAAAGACAAGACATCTGCAGAGCAAATTATTTTTTGGAGAGTACATCCACATGTTTCCAATACTATTGTCACTGAGAAACTCCCATGTCAATTCAACTAAACCAAAGCACAGCTGTTCTGTACCTTTGTTTTGAAGCAAACACCCTATCATTCAGTTGGAAGAACTGTCCTTTACCTAGGGTTTACTGTATGTTATTGATTAGCCTTTCTATAAGTGTGTGTACACATAAATTAGTTTTGCCAAAGACTTTGGTGACCACCTGTTTCAGAAAAGTACTAAACCTATGTTTAAAAGTAGCCTGAAAAATAGCTGACAGGCCCTGGGGTGGATACAGAATCTCTCTCTGCAAGATACTCCCTTCCCCCAGTTCCAGGCAGCTCAACTCCACATCCTACTCTTTCATGGAACAAAGGCACTGAGTCTCAAACTATGGTCTGCAGACCATTCTAGTTTGCATACAGTAGATCCATCAGCTGCTCTGTCTCCCATGTTCCTCTTCCTCTTTCTCACTGCCTCAACACCTGTCACTACCAGGCAACTGGCTAAACCAAAGCCATTCACTGTCTTACTGCCACCTACCCACCTACCCTGCCAGATCAGAGCTAGGGGTGTTTGTTATTGGTTCACAAAAATTAATCACTGGCTGAAAACTGGTTCATTGAAGTATGTAAGGGACAATACAAGTAGCCACAGGAGTACTAACATTCAGAAAACAACAATAGTGAAAAGATTTCAAGTGTGGTTACCTAAAGTGAGTCCACATGGCTGCGCCAAGTGGAACTGTGATCTCATACAAGCAACCCAAAAAGAAAAGTGCAAATTGGAAATTAAAACAACTCATCTCTTAAATGAGATCTCACTGAGCTGGAAGTCTATGGTTCTCTACCCACCCACCCCCATGTGTTTTATATTGTAAAACATCAAATGATACCATGAATGAAGTTGTGGCAAATTCCACCCCTGTAATCATGTCACTGCACAACCTTCCCTCCCTTTATATGGATGGGGGGGGGGGGCTTGCATAGTGACTTCACTACACATGTTCAGATGCCATGAAAGCATTTGTTCCTTGCTTGCCATTTACCAGTCAACAGCACACTGACTGCATCCCATTGATGCTGATCTGTTTTTGCTTGCAAAAAATAGTTAAAGTACCATTGAAAATATTACCATCCTCAACTTGAAATCAGTTGATTTCACTGGCTATAGCATAGATGCCTCTCCCATGAATCCTTCAATGCTCTGGTGGCATTGTCAGACAAAGCAGAATGGATTTATGGGTAAACAAATACAGTAGAATTTTTTTTCACAAATGCAAAGCAAATTGGAAAGCAAAGATCTCTGCTGCCAAGGGTGGAGTTGCACTCCCCATAACAAAAGTGGGTAAATGTCATCCCATACCCATAGTCAAAAAGCTTGAAAAGCCAGCTGTCAAGTACAGTATATGACAAATAATATAGAGAGAGAAGGCAGGATGAGCTGTTGAGAAAATCCCCCATCCTTGTCATCAAAAATCCACAGTGGGGAACTTGTATTCTTATCCCTGAAAACCCAAGCTACACAAGAAGTGATATTAGGTTTGTTACCAGCTATTTCGTGAGACATGGTGTGGATTAGAAGAGTTGCACAGAGATAAGGTACAAGGTACAAACAAGGTACCAGCAAGGTATAAACAAGGAAGCAAGAACTATACCTATTTCTTTAAGGAATTTTTATTGTCAAGTTTAGGGGTATGGTACAGAATCTTAGAAAATGCAGTAAGTTGCCAGACTTTTTGCAGCTAAATTCAGTAATAAACTCTTTCATGTCTTGGTGTCTACGTCCAACATTCCTTCCATTATTACCCAAGTTTTCGCACAATCTCTTATATCACTGTCTTACAGCACTGATAGAACACCAGTATGTGCAAATAAGGAAGAACGGTGCTACACTTGTGAAAAAGTCACACCTGAATGCAAGGCCACACATTGCTCTATTTTCAGAAAACAGCTGACATCAGAAACAACAATAGTAGACTGTTCAGCCCTGATGCAAATTGTGAGAAGTGTGAACGTGATCAAAATATGGGCTTTGAGCGCATCTTTTCAGCAGGCTGGGTAAGGAAATGGGCAGTGAATACAAGACTCAGCTTTTCCATGGAGAAGTAGGCTAGCTAGCTGTGAGAAAAAGTCCTCGTAAGAGTTTTTGAATGATGGGGAGAGATCAAAACATTTCTTGATGAAAATGATAAGGCCACTAAAGACATTTTGTGTGATTTCAAGTAGCGTACCTCAGCTACCTCAGCTATACTTAGTGCTCTGAATAGACTTAACCTTTCATCTTAGGGTCATAACATCCCAGTTTTTAATGTGGAGCATATGATTTCTGCTTTTCTTCAGAAGTCTGAAATGTGGTGCGAATGGTTTGACCAACAAAAATTTGCCTCCATTTCAATTCTTGATCATTTTCTCCATTCTTCGGTGGAAGAAATCAACTCAGTGTTACTTTGTTCATTCCAAACACACTTCCATGATGTGCTTCAACAAAGCATTACTGAACACTGTCCAGAACTGGACATAGCCAAGGAATTAATTAAAAATTCATTTGCTACTGTTGCTCAAACTGAATCTTTCAAACCTCAAGTTTCTGAGAATGTTATGCTATGAAAGTGGTCTTTGTGAGAAGTCCCTTCCAAATTTCTGGATTATTGTGGTGAATATCCAGAAGTGTTCAACACAGATGCCATACTTGCTGCCACTCCTGATGACCTAAAACTGCAAAATTGGGTTTACAATTCTAGTGAAAATAGAAAGAAAAGGATATGGTATTTGACCTATGCTTTGGAGTATGCCTTGAACTAATATTCTCTTATCCTGGTTATTATTCTTGTAATAGTATTTCATATTATTTTTGTAATATTAGAGCAGAAACAGCGTCATACCTCTCTCTCACATAAAATATTTATTATTCAGATATCTATATTTGTTCAATTCGGTGGTCCCCGTATTTTCCAAGTATTTATTTAGTGGTCCATGATTTTGGAAAAATTGAGAAATACTTCCTAGTTCCAATCAAGGGGAGATTTGGGCAAATTTATAAATATAGACTTGTTTCTAGTAATCAGAAAGTGATGCTCTTACTTGTGGACAAGAAATACAATTGGTTAAGCAAATTAATAAAAAGACAGAACAATATATTGGTCTTGGATCAGGGTTGAACCTGAATGGACAAGTGATGGATTATATCCTGGCTTAATTATGCAGAAGTCTCTCCCAACCTAGTCTACTATAAAAGAGTCTTATAATGATAAAATGGAAAGTCCTAAATATCCCACATTTGTATTCCTTGAAGATTAAGCATGATAAAAACAAAATAAAATCCTGAATACTTGATAGCAAGGCAAAATCCACTGAAATCAATGAGGGTTACTTCCCTAGATAGTTTTATATTTTGATTAAACTGTCTAGAGAAGTAAGGTCATTGATTTTGCAAGGAAGAAATCTACAGTTATTTCCTGGAAAGATTTCTCTGGATTTCAATTCTTAAGTAGATGATATAAGCCTTGTTACTGAACGTGTTGGACACTACAACATTATTTATTTTAACCAACATTCTGTCGAAGGCTTTGGGTTTTCTTCAGGTTAAAGAACTGATAGCTGTTATGATGTTGGTCATTTGAGGTAGCTAACAAGCCTAGCAATGATTAACTTTGGCCCAACCTCTCCCTTTTTCCCCTTTTCGCTTTGCTCCACATTGGCTTCTACTTTGCAGAATGTAGGAGCCTCTCCTTCTGCCAAGATGTTCAGAATGAAGAGATTTATGCAGAGGATCTGGATTCTCCTGCATGTGTGCCTGTCTACCATCATTGGTAAAATCTGTATGCTCTTCTTCCCAGATACTGTAAAGAGATATATCCTGAAGCAGGGAGGAAAAACCAGCATAGGAGAGAACCCAAAATTCAGCTATGAAAATTGGGGTCCAACTTTCTTCAGCTTCCCGTACTTATTCTTTGTCTTGAAAGTTAAATGGAAAAGGCTGGAAGATGAAGCCCTTCAAGGCTGTCCTGCTCCTAACACCCCTGTAGCAGATCTCAGTGGAGAAATTCGTCACATCCTGGATTTCATGCATGGTAAGTAAACACCACGACAAAGCTTTTGAGAAGCACAGCATTTGCTAATAACACAAGGGAAGTAGGGAGTCCCATATCAAAATCAGGATACTAATTCTACATTATTGATTAAACATAAAGTGTGTTAACTTAAACATGTCATTTTGTCGTGTGGTTGGAATTGAGTTAAAACATATTAAAATAATTGGGGAAAATTGTAAGGTGGCAGTAGAATTAACAGAGTTAAATAGTTTAATTAATTTTACTATATTAGCAGGAAATAATAATTTAACTTTATATATGTATGATTGAAGTGGGCAAGAATAATGCTCATAAGTAACATATGCTATTGCATATACTGTACATAAAATTGCATACTGCATACAAATATACAAGATTATGTGTATATATATTACTAGATCCAAGGATACTTTTCTTCAAATAAATGCATGCAGGATTGGAGTCTGTACCTCAGATATTTTTTCTTAAAAACTGTATATAAATAGCAAATACCTTCCACAGAAAAGAAACAGAGTTTGATAAATTTTCAGTTAATCCAGATATATTGCCAGCACAAACACAAATTGCACTTTGCCCTCTCTCTTAACATATTCATAAGTTACTGGCTTATACTTCATAGTAACTAATTAACTACACTGCTTTGAAAATTAACACAAAACCCAACTTGTATGCAACTGGCATTGTACACTTATTTTGCATTTTCAAATAATTGCCCTAGGTAACTGAATCAAAATATCTTAGAAAAACAAACAAACAAAAAAACATTTGATAGGAAATTGATAAGGGGTGATGTGAAGAACAGAGATAATTTTGTATTGTTTTGCTGTACTGTGATGTATAATTCATTCACTATGGCTTGGAATTATATGTGAACCAAGCTACTATGGTTTGTTCAACAAATCCTGGCTTAGCTTTATGTGAACAGTCGTGGTTGTCATCACTTAGATCAAGAAGGATTGTATGGATGCTCAACTAAAGATCAGAGCATTATAATATACAATTCTATTGCAAGTATAACCATAGGTTAAAAGACAAAAATGGCTCACCACATCATAAAATCCCTCAAATATAAAGAAGGCAATGTTCAAGAGATCATTTGAATCAGAGGATTTTCATTGGTGATGCCAATAAGGTTTTAAATCTGAATTGCTCTTCTTGTGATTATTGTTGGCTTCAGGAAAAATAGAAAAGAGACATTTTAAAATGAAATACATGCTGCCATCCATCTAACATTTTTATACAACATGCAGATGCTGATTATGAAAAAAAAAATTAAATGCCACGTTAAAACAATTACAGAGGACACTTATGTTGTTCTTTATCCTACCATGCTATTACTGAGAATTAGAATTGTATCATCATAAAATAATCTTAGCAAAATTATCCATGTGACATTAACAAGTTCTTGATAAATGAACTGGTTTCATGTGTTGGAATGAGTACTTCTAGACCAGTGTTTTTCAACCTCAACGCCTTAAAGATGTGTGGACTTCAACTCCCCAAATTCCCTAGCCAGCACTGGCTGGGGAATTCTGGGAGTTGAAGTCCACACATCTTAAAGATGCTGAGGTTGAGAAACATTGGTCTAGACAGATGAATTCCAGAGCTATCAGTAAAAAGAGACTGTGCAGCTATTATATTTTTTCTGCTTGATGTATTTTCAGTACTGAAAGGGAAAAATGGGGAAACTGTTAAAAAAAAAAACTTGTTTGAAAAGGCACAAAAATAAAAGCCTAATTTTGAAGCATGTTGTCCTTTTAAATCTTTCAAATGTTGTATTAATCAGTCACTAAATTTTAGGCGTCTCATATGTACAAAGATGTGACCAAATACTTAAATTATTTGTACCATGTCAGCTGCAAATAACAACTCCCTAATAAATATGAGAACTATAACTATCCTTATTCTTTGAGGATAAGGATCTCAAACGCCTATCCTTATCTCCCAAGACTGCTCTGTGTTTCTTGCAGGTAACAGGCCTTTGGTCCTAACATTTGGAAGTTGTACCTGACCCTCATTTATATTCAAATTTAGCGAGTTTAATAAACTTGTTGAAGATTTCAAATCTATAGCAGACTTTCTTGTAATCTACATTGAAGAAGCTCATGCCTCAGGTAAGGCAAGTGTGCTAAAGGAGTATACTTATTAGATTGTTTGATGGTTAAAAGATGAGAAACATAAACAACTGTATTCCAGGTTATTGATCTGGATGCATTTCTTCTTAAATATAAACCTTACATCTTAATGCAGCAGGCTTAACTTTATGTGATAGAGGAAGCTAATTTAACTTGGAAAACAATAGTATATCAAATATGTATAATCTCCAAAAACATAAAACCCCCAATATTTGGTTGTCTAAGTCAAATGTAATTTAAGAAAGGCTTCTGTTGAGAACCAACAGCTCAGAGAAAGCACCCTCCACTGCTTTCTCTGACACTTGTAACCTCTTATCTGCATGAATAGAACCAAAAACTGTAATAAAAGGTATGGTATCAAAGCCATACATTCATTGTATATTTATCAGCCAGTAGACTCTGGAAAAGGGGGACGCGGTGGCGCAGCGGCTTAATGACGCTGAAAGTTGCCGGCCAGAACTGGTCGACGCTTCA